AAAACTGAAGAATGGTCACCACTAAAATCAGCCCTACAAGAGAGACCATCCTAAGGGGGATCCTGAGACAAAGTACCAGAGACATCACTACAAGCATAAAAAACATACAGATTGCCAATGACTCTAAACCCGTATCTTTTCTATATTAACACTGAATGTAAATGGATTAAAATGCACCAACCAAAAGACATAGGGTCAGAATGGATAAAAAAAATACCCATCTATTTGTTGCCCGCCCAGAGACCTTACTTTTAGACTTGAGGACAAATTCCTTTAGATTGAGAGTGAGGGGTAGAGAACTATTTATCATGCTACTGGAAGCCAAAAAGAAAAGCTGGAGTAGCCATTGCTACTTGTATCAGACAAACTAGAGCCTCACCAAAGGCTGCACAAAGATGAAGAAGGGTAATATATAATAATTACAGGGTCTATCCATCAGAAGAGCTAACAATTATAAATGTCTATGTGCGTCAATACCGAGCCTCCCCAAATATATAAAACAATTATCACAAACATAAGCAACCTATTGATAAGAATGTGGTAATTGCAGGGACTTTAACTCCCCTCACTTACAAAATGGATTGATCATCTAGGACACATGGTCGATAAAGAAACAAGGGCCCCTGAATGACACATTGGATCAGATGGACTTGGACAGATATTTAGAACTCTGCATCCTGTGCCAAATAGAATATATTTTCTTCAGGAGTGCATTACGGAACATTCTCCAAGATAGATCATATACTGGGTCAAACAAGCTCCTTCATAAGTATACAAGAATAGAAATTATATACCATGCATACAGCCAGACCAGCCATGCCATGAAGCTTGAAATCAACCAGGAAAAAGTCTGGAAAACCTCAAAAAAAACACGGAGGTTAAAAGAACACCTACTAAAGAATGAGTAAATCTGCAATTAGAGAAGAAATTTAAAAAATGGAAACAAACGAAAATGAAAATACAACACCTAAACGTTTTGGGATAAAGGAAGGCAGTCCTGAGGAAAATACATTGTAATCCAGGCCTATCTCAAGAAACAGGAAAAATCCCAAATACAAAATCTAACAGCACACCTAAAGGAACTAGAAAGCAGAACAGCAAGGCAGCCTAAAACCCAGTGAAGAAGAGAAATAAAGCTCAGAGCAGAAATAAACAATATAGAATCTAAAAAAATCAGAGCAGATCAACGAAACCAAGAGTTGGTTTTTGAAAATAAACAAAAATTGATAAACCTCTAGCCAGGTTTTCTCAAAAAGGAGATGACCCAAATATTAAAAAATCATGAATGAAAATGGAATATATTACAACCAATCCTCAGAGATACAAGCAATCATCAGGGGAATACTATGAAAATTATATGCCAACAAATTGGACAACCTGAAGAAATGGACAAATTCAAACACCCACACTCTTCCAAAACTCAATCATGAAATAGAAAGCTTGAACAGCATCTATAACCAGCTAAGAAATTGAATTGGTTATCAAAAATCAACAAATAATGAAGTTCAGGACCAGATGGCTTCCCATGCAGGAGAGTTCTAACAGATGTTTAAAGCAGAGATACTCTATCCTCTCGTTGGCTCCAAGAATAGAAAGGGAAAGGAAACTTCCGGACTATTCTATGAAGGTAGCATATTTTTGATTCCTAAACTAGACAGAGACCCAGTAAAAGAGAATTACAGGCCAATATCCTGATGAATATGGATGTAAAAAATCAATAAGATACTAGCAAATCAATTCAATAACAGCATATAAAAAAGAATTATTCACCATGACTCAAGTGGGATTCATTCCTGGGATGGGTGGGCTGGTTCAACATTCGCAGAATCAATCAACATGATACATCATGCCATTATAATAAAAAGAAAAGTATGATCCTGTCAATCGGAGGGATGGTGAAAAAGGCCTTTGACAAAATCCAGCACTTTTCTTAATAAAAAAAACCTTTTGAGAAAGTCGGGATAGAAGGAACACTTTGAAAAGATCATAAAAAGCCATTTGTGAAAAAGCCCATTGAAGCTAACATATACTCAATAAAAAACTGGAAAGTTTTTTTTCCTCGAGATCAGAATACGCATTAGGATGCCCACTACCGCTAAAGTTAACATAGTAAGCTGGAAGTTCTAGCATCACAATCAGACAACAAAAGGAAATCAAAGGCATCCAATTGGCAAAGAGATGAAGTCAAGCTGCTGCCATGTTGTAAAGATGACATGATATTATACATGGAAAACTGGCTAGACTAAAAAGCGTCTGTTGTGAACTGATACATGAATTCAGCAAAGTTGTAGGATACAAATCAATGTACAGAAATCGCTGTAATTTTATACACTAACAATGAAGCAACAGAAAGACAAATAAAGAAACTGATCCCATTCACAATGGCACCAAGCATAAAAAATACCTAGAATAAATCTAACCAAAGATGTAAAAGATCTGTATGCTGAAAACTATAGAAAGCTTATGAAGGAAATTGAAGAAGATATGAAGAAATGGAAAGACATTCCCCGCTTATGGATTTTGAAGAATAAATATGTCAAAATGTCAATACTACCCAAAAGCTATCTACACATTCAATGCAATCCCAATCATAATTGCACCAGCATTCTTCTCAAACTTAAAGGCAAGCAACTTAAAATTCATATGGAACCACAAAAAGGCCCCGAATAGCCAAAAAGTAATTTGAAGAAGAAGACCAAAAGCAGGAGGCATCACAATCCCAGACTTTAGCTCTCTACTTTCACAAGGCTGTCATCATCAAGACAGCAATGGTATTGGCACAAAAAAGACACATAGACCAATGGAAGGAATAGGAAAACCCCGAACTAGACCTTACAAACGTATGGCTAACTCATATCTTTGGACAAGCAGGAAAGAACATCCAATGAAAAAGACAGTCTTCTTTTTAACAAATGGTGCTGGAGAACTGACAGCAACATGCAGTAGGTTGAAACTAGACCACTTTTCTCACACACCATTCACAAAATAAACTCAAATGGATAGCGATGAATGTGAGACACAGGAAACCATCCAAACCTTAGAGGAGAAAAAGCAGGAAAAGACCTCTCTCTGACTCAGCCGTCAGAGCGCTTACTGACACATCCCCAAAGCGCGGGAATTAAAAGCAAAAGTGAATTACTGGGACCTTATGAAGATAAAAAGGCACAGCAAAGGAAACAACCAACAAAACTAAAAGGCAAATCAACGGAATGGAAAAAAGATATTTGCAAATGACGGGGACAAAGGGCTAGTATCCAAAATCTATCAAGAGCTCACCAAACTCACACCAAAAGCAAATAACCCAGTGAAGAAATGGGCAGAAAAACAGAATAGATTCTCTTAAAGAAGATGATATCCGATGGCCAACAGGCAGCCATGAAAAAGATGTTCAGCCGCCGCCTCCTTGTCAGGGAAATACAAATCAAAACTACACTCAGATATTTCATGCCAGTTAGAGGGCTAAAAATGAACAACGAGACTATAGATGCTTCTGAGAGGATGCTGGAGAAACGGGAACCCTCGCAGACTGTTGTGGGAATGCAACTGGTGCAGCCACTCTGGAAAACAGTGGGAGGTTCCCAGAAAATTAAAAAATAGATTTACCCTATGACCCAGCAATAAGCACTGCTAGGAATTTACCCAAGGGATACAGGAGTATTGATGGTTAGGGGCAATTTGTACCAATGTTTATATAGTGCAGCACTCTCAACAATAGCTAAATTGTGGAAAGAGCTTAAATGTCCATCAACAACTGATGAATGGATAAAGAAATGGTGGTTTATATACACAACGGAGTAACACATGGTTATAGCAATGAGAAGAACCAAATATGGCCCTTTGTAGTAACGCACCAACGGATGGAACTGGAGAGTGTGATGCTATGAAATAAGCCATACAGAGAAAGACAGATACCATGTTTTCGCCTATGGATCCTGAGAAACTTAACAGAAACCCATGGGGAGGGAAGGAAAAAAAGAGGTTAGAGTGGGAGCCAAAGCATAAGAGACTCTAAAAAACTGAGAACAAAACTGAGGGTTGATGGGGGTGGGAGGGAGGGAGGGTGGGTGATGGGTATTGAGGAGGGCACCTTTTGGGATGAGCACTGCGTTGTATGGAAACCACCGATAATAAATTTCATATATTGAAAATAAATAAAATAAAATAAAATAAAATAAAATAAAATAAAATAAAATAAAATAAAATAAAATAAAATACATGTCTGTTTGGAGCAAAAATTATCACACTGAATGTGGAGTACTGGTGCCTGGGTGGCTCAGTTGGAGTTAAAAGACCGACTTCAGCTCTCAGGGTCACGACCAAGGTTCAGAGTTTGAGCCTGCCTGGGCTCTTGGCTGATGGTTCAGAGCCCGGAGCCCAAGCTTCCCGGGATTCTGTGTCTCCCTCTGACCTCCCTCCCATTCATGTTTTGCTGTCTTCTCTCACTAAAATAAATAAAAACGTTAAAAAAAAAATTAAAAAAAAAAATGAATGTGGAGTATTAACACATGTAGCTATAATACATATAGTTAAAACATAAACGATGGTGGTAAATAGACCTGTAGAGTTGCAAAACTCATATCTCACACAAAGTGGAACAATATTAACTCAGACACACTATTGTAGCCATCACCTGCTTTCTACAGTGACACTGTACCTTAACTTCTCTGAGGCCCAAGGAAGACAAGGAAAGAATAAAGCTTTCCTCCAAAGTTCTCCTTCACCAGAAGTCCAACACCTTTCACTTGGGGCTCATGTCTTTAAGAATAAACTTTGATCTTAAAATACAAAGTTTTAACAACTGAAAAGGGAAACAAGCAATCTCTCCTATAGGAAAACAAGCAATGAATGCAGGAAGCTGTATTAATTAGAAATATACTTGTCTTCCTTCTCTGCAAAATGAGTTGAAATCTATATTCATTTCAGGCTCGCATAATATCAAGTCTAGGAACTGAATTTATTTAACTTTTTATACAGTTCAATACGGTATCTGGAAAACTGACCTTGATTTCCTTTATTCCTTTCTTTGCTTTTAAAGTTTCTTCAGCAGACTTTGTCTTCTCATTCTTCTTCACTGTGTCAGTCACAAGTTTCTTTCCACTTGGTATAACCCCAAAGAATTTCCGAATATCCTAAAAGCAAAAATGGACGTGCATAAACAAACATTAACGGCACAAAATGTGAATTTCACTTGCAAACGGGGACACCTTACACACACTGGTTTGCCCTCAGCAATTTCTTCACAGTGCAATAACTCCACCATGTGCAGCAGCGTTCTTTTCATGTGCAAAAGTTTACTGATAAAATTACCTGGGTTAAGAACCATTCGCCTAATGAAAAATAGTTATTAAGTCTCAGAATTTGGCAAAAGCAGGACAAAAATGAGCAATGAAATTGTTCTTAACAACAGCATAATTACTAAAGAGGCAAGTCATATGCGCATATTCATCCCACCTCCCCAGGCACAGTGAGAGAGAAGACAAATGTTGAAGAGTATAATCCTTGCCCATGGGATTTATACTCCAGTTTGAAAGAAGGATACCTTTCACAACCCTGATCATTTAAGGCTTAATAACTTAAAACTTAATCACTTAATAACTAAAAACCTTGAAGTTACTCTTCTTTATATGATTTTTCCAAATTCTGAATTAAATATTTTATGCGTATTACAATATTCTCTTTAATTGCTCTAACCCTTTGTGTTAAGCTGAAATCAAATTAATCATAATGAAACATTTACAATGTAATTTACAATTAAAATCACTCACTTTTATCTTTTGCATACATATTCTTCCCTACCCTTTTAGATTTTAGCTTTGAACATGGGACGGTGTAGAGAACAGGAATAGATCTTGGAATCAGAAAGCCTCAGTATGAATCTCTACTCCACTGCTTTTTATGTGTGACCTTGGGCAGGTTACTTTAATCTGGTTTTTCATCAGTAAAGTGGGACTAATACTACCTACACTTTATGAGGATAATTAATGTTGGCTCAGTAAAAAGCTTCCCTTTCCCTCATTTATGAACTATTATTCCTTCATATCACTGAAACGTCTCTACTTACAATTATCTCTGCTCCCAGGCAAGGATATAAGGAACACAAAATAATGAGATCTGAATAAGGATCTGAATTCCTAAGAACTGGGTTCAAGAGCCAAGTATTCTCCTCTTCCTATCTTACGTTCCTGAGTTTTCAATCCTTTTAACCTGTTCCCTGTTCCTCTCTTTATTGTGGTGAGCAAAATGCCTGTTGAAAGTACTTTGCCGGGGCACCTGGGAGGCTCAGTCAGTTGAGCACTGACTCTTGATTTCAGCTCAGGTCATGATCTCAGGGTCACGGGATCAAGCCCCACTTTGGGCTCAGCACTGAGCATGGAGACTGCTTAAGATTCTCTCTGTCTCTGTCTCTTGTCTCTCTCCCTCTCTGACCCTCTCCCCCACTCGTGTGCTCGCTCGCTCTCTCTCTCTCAAATACAAAAAAAATTCTTAAAGGTACTTTGTGAGGTGTAAGAAAGTTAACAATTCTTTCCTAGAACCTGGCAGTAAATATCATACTCTTAAAATGTCACAAATCCCAAATAAGCATGTTATGCACACACAAAAATAGCTTTGTGTCTAAGCAAATAAACAAAGCAGATAAATGAGGTACACAGACACTAAATTTCTTTTAAAAGATTATAGACCTCTCTGATTTTATGTTCTCTTTTGTAAACTGCTTAACACAGAAAAGTCACAAATCCATCCTAATAAAATCTAAGTCTAAAAAATATTGTTTACAGAATGATACTTCACCTATGAGGCTAAGACATTTGTGTCAAGTGCTAAATAAAGAAAAATAGGCAATAAAGAAAGGCACAGTCTTCCATATAACTTACAAAAAACTGGGTTTGCGGTTGACAACTATTTATTTACTTTATTGCTTCTGGAGGAAATGACAGTTTCACACCAGAGTTTCACTTTTAAAATTACCAACTGATTTTTCATTCAAATGGTGGTGACGGTTTGCACGCATGCATGCACCCTTACACACAGCACAACACGTGTACCATGGAAATACCAAAACTGAATATTAATAATCAGGTTAAAGTCACTGCTGGTTTTCAAACTGTATTAGGCACACAAACGCTTACAACCACAAAAGAAAACAAAATATAATTCAGGAAATGGAATGGTTGGTTTATTAAGGCTCTCTGACTTTTGTGTTTCATACTCCTCAGCATTGTTACTTTTCCTTCCTAACTAATCCTTTCTATTCATATCCCCTTTCTCTTCCTTTTCTTTATTCTACCCTACTCTCACTCCCCACCCCCTTATACTCTGATGGCAGCAGAACAGTAAAATAACAACATTCTGATCTATCCCAATACACACTGAAAATCTAAACTTTTGGAAAAGAATTTTCATCACAAGGAAAGCCAATTAACTCACACCTTTTAGGATTATCTCCAATGTGAGCAGCCATCTTGTATATAAACATCTAAAAGACAAGGGTCACTAATTTGGCCTTAGAGAGTGACTTCACTTTACCCTTCAATTAACATTCCCTTGTCTAGTACTCCCAGTTTTCAAACATTTCATGAAATGGCGAACAAGTCTAGTGGCTAATCATACTCCCAAATAATAGATCTAAACATCACTCTTGGGGCGCCTGGGTGGCTTAGTCAGTTAAGCACCCAACTTTGGCTCAGGTCACGATCTCCCGGTTTGAGAGTTCAAGCCCCACATCAGGCTCTGTGCTGGCAGCTCAGAGCCTGGGGCCTGCTCCAGATTCTGTCCCTCCCTCTCTCTCTTTGCCCCTCCCCCACTTGCACTGTCTCTCTCTTTCTCAAAAATAAACATTAAAAAAAATTTTTTTAATTTAAACACCATTCTTGAATGCACAAAATAATTATTCCTGAGTATATGAGAAGAGGGAACAGATTTTAATTTACTTTTATGATCTTGGCAAAGGGAAAGTCTTCTAAGTATAACATCAAAGCTAGAAACCATCCATAAAGGAAGACAGATCTGACTACATAACAAGAAAAGATGCCATAAACAAAAGTTAAAATACAAGTAACTAACTTGAAAATATCTACAATATATGGTGTATATAGAGGGTCCCTACAAACCAATAAGATAGCTGAGTAGAAAAATGAATTTGCTAGTAAGCAAATTATAAAAAATGCAAATAATCAACAAATAATAAGAGATGTTCAACTTCACAAATAATAATCAAATAAATTGAAGCTGGATTATTTTTCTCTAAATGTTAAAAGACTGATAATGCCCAGATTTGTCAAGGATATGGGGGAACAGATGCTCACAAACTATTCTGCTGTAAAAGTAAAAACTGGTATACTGGAGGACAAAAACTCATCTGGAAGACAATCAGCAATACTTGTCACAATTTTAAATGTGCATATCCATTGTCCCAGGAAGTCCATTTCTAAAAGAAATGATAAAAGAAATAACATTATTTTTATTTGGGGAGACCAAAAAAAAGTAATAACTCTTCTTATTTTCTTCTTCAACAGTTACTAGTTGAACAATTCAGGTCAAATAAGGCAAAAACTTAGGCAAAAATCACATCAAAGTTAAAACAAATTTTAGCACAGATAGCTAATAATAACAAGTTTATGTGCTTTTACTTACAGCTACTGGACACAGATTTCTCTCTCTTGATGATTCTGTGAGGTATATAAGGCAAATAGAATATCTCTGTTTTATAGATAAGTAAGTGGAATTAAGACAGACAAAGGCTTTCTATCAGTTTTGCCATTTAGTACCGGACACTTGGGATGAATTACATAACTTCTCTGCCTCTCAGTTTCCTCATGTTACCACCTGCCTCATAAAATTCCTGTGGGGATTAAGGTGGCAGACCAAAAACCTCCATCACAGAACCTGGTCCTCCAAATCCCTTTCAGTTTTCCACTTGACCATGATTGCCCCTTCATAGTTTTCCTGCAACTCTAAGGATCTATGCAAAGTAGCCATACCCCACAATTAGCAGTATGGCATTTCCCTTCTCATTCCTGACAAGTCTGTATGCTTAGAGGCGGGCACTGTGCCAGGGACTTAGAACACAAACAGGAAAATGCCCTCATGAAGCTACCTAGGAGTCAAATTAGTATATAAAGAATTAAATACAAAAGAGTGCTAAGACAGAGCTTCTCACAAAACTAGAAGACAGGAACAACTAACACAGAGACCTTTCCAAAAGAAGCAACACCTGAACTGAGTCCTAAGATGATTAAATGAGATGTTTTTTTAAGTAACCTCTACCCCCAACGTGGGGCTTGAACTCACAACCCCAAGACCGAGAGTCACATGCTGTACCGACTGAGCCAGCCAGACTATACTTTTGATAGTCATATAAATCTGAGTTTGAAGGCACCACTGTTAAGTTCCATAGAGCAGGCCTAGCTCCCCACTCTATCTCAAGCACAGGGCCAGCACTTGAGATAATGTTGGATGAATGCAATGGGGCACCTGGCTGGCTCAGTCAGTAGAGCGTGTGTGCGGCTTTTGAGTTCAAGCCCCACACTGGGAGTGATTACTTAATAATAAAAGCTTTAAAACTATACGTATCGGTTGAACACATGAGCAGTTATTTCTTTACATCTGGGCTCCCTCCAAAAGAGAGGTTCTTGATTATGTAAAATGAAACTCATGGTAGATGTGTTTTTAAAAAATTGAGTATTAACATAATCTTTAATTGAGATTAATTTTTTGCTATGACTTTACCTATTGCTTTTGACTTTAAGAAATTTTAAGTGGGTATTAAATTAACACTTATTGTGTATTAATTCTGAAATAAATTATTAAAGTTGACCTATAATTAACCCTTGAAATATGGTACTCTCTTGTCATATTATAATATTGTGGCTACAAAAAACAAAATAGTTTCACTCTTTCTACAATATTTCCTCTTCTTCAAATTTGTTTTCGCCAAACTAATTATCTTTTAGAAATCATATATACCTCTACATATAATCAATGTTAATGATACAGCAAAGCCTAGCACAGGCCTCAAGAAATTCTAAGATACCAGTGAGTAAAAAAGAAGTGTGATCTGAAAAATTTTTAAGTAATCACAGGTTCTATCCAGGAAGAATTTTAAGAACCTGCATCAAATTCCTCTTTATTC